AATAACAGTCCTGATTTAGGATGATGAACTTTTCTAGTAAGTTTGAGGTTTGCCGGAGCTGCCTCCTTACCAGACGGGCACAGTGCATAAGCGAGGAATGGACCCAGCCGGCAAGCCTGGCAACGTGGTCCAACAGAGAAGTCTATCGGAATGGCCAAAATGAGCAGACTGCAGGAGCGCGGGAGAGCTGGGAGACTGAGCAGGGGAGATAAGGGGACTCTAGAGCTTTGCTTCTCTGAGTGTGACCCAAGGCCCGAGGGGCTTGTCAGAGACGCAGACCACAGGGGTCGCCTAGAATCCACGGACTTGGGATTCCCGTGTGCATTCAAGTTGGTGGAGGGCTGGTCCGACTTCACAGTCAGCTCCTTCCTTTACTGTTGGGCAAACTGACCACATCGTTCTCTTGCTAAAATCCTTCGGTTTCCTCTTCAGTCTTGGGTCATGGTCATGACCAGAATCCTAGGCATGGTCTTCTGGGTCAGCCGGGTCTCTGGGCCCTCCCTGTCACTGACTGCCTTCCACACGGGCCACCTTGCCTTGGGGACTTTGCAGCTCTCCCTTCTCTGCTAGCTGCTCAGAGCTGCCATAACAAGTGGCTTTAACACAACGGAAATTTATCCCATCACAATTCTGGCAAATCGAGGCACCAGCGGCGCTCTGCTCTGCCTCAAGGCTCCCGGGGAGAATAATCTGTCTTTGTCTCTCCCAGCTTCTGGTGGCTCCAGGCATGGTCGGCTGCAGCAGCCTCCCTGCAGTCTCTTGCCCCTGGCTTCACGTGCCCATCCTCCCTGTGTGTCTGTGTCTTCACGTGGCGGCATTCTGTGTGTGCCCCTGCCCACACTTCACACCTTATAAGGACATCAGGTTCCTGCAAGCTTCTGGTCACATTTTGTCAACTGATCATTGTATATCCTCGTCTTACGTGTTTCTGTTTAAAGACACCCTCTGTAATATTTCTTGTTGATTGGTTAGCATGGAACTCACAGCGCTATAATGCACGCCTGAGCAAAGCTTATCTGATATATGAGTTTTCCCCGTAAGGCACATCATCGCCTTCTGGTTCTTAGGAACCCGGGAAGGCACTTTGGCACAATGCCTGGGCGCCATTTGAAACAGCAGAGTTACCAACAAAAAGCACAACGATGTGAAGAAAAATGTCGCACTCTGTGGACTGTGCAAAGGACACTTGTTTGCCACGGGAGAGCACGAGCGGGAAGGCAGAGTGTGGCCTTGTTCAGCCCCCGCTGGGAAGACATGCATCAGATGACTCAAATTCAGCACACGTCCGCGAGTGACCACAAACGCATCTGTGTATTGGGGGTTATGGGTATATTTTAGCGAGTAGGCAAATTCACAGATACAGAGTTCCAGCTAGTACTCAGAATAATATTGTATCTCCTCGATTATCTTTCTCACAAATAACCCAGTTGGAAAAAAAAATGGTTGCACCTGAAACAGTTCATCCACAGTGCGGATGGAACGTGTCTTCCCACACAGGCTTTAGTTTTAAAGACAGAAAATTGGGTTTCTCGTCTTGGTGCTTTGCTTCACCTGACAATGGACTTTTCCAACTACTGTTTCAGTTTAAAAACGATCTTCATTCTCTTTTATTTATTTATGTATTTTTTATTGCATTTTAGGTTTTGGGGTACATGTGAAGAACATGCAAGATTGTTGCATAGGTACACACATGGCAGTGTGATTTGCTGCCTTCCTCCCCTTCATTCTCTTTCAGAGGGATTCCCATCTGTGTGCACTTGAAAAGCCATCACATAACATAAGAACAGGGACCACTGTGGGCTGGTGGAGGGGCACCTGACAGGAACCATACCATATGGCTTTTTGAACTGTTGTAGTTTCGACCATTTTTTTTTTTTTTCCCAACTGGGCTATTTGTGAGAAAGATAATGGAGGAGATACGATATTATTCTGAGTACTAGCTGGAAGCAGGGCACTTACATACGCCTCTCGCGTTTCCATATTGCTCGACTCAGGTTCAGCTGCAGCGTTAGAGACCACGCACAGCGGATCTGAGGGTCAGGCGGTTGGGAGGACTGGCATCTGTCTCTTGCAGGGCGAGCCTTTGTGGGGTCACCATCGCACTTCTCTGTGCTCAGCCTTCCCTGGTGCTCCCCAGACTCTTCTGAACTCTTTTTGTTGTTGTTGAGATGGCGTCTCGCTCTGTTTCCTAGGCGGGAGTGCCATGGCACAATCTCGGCTCACTGCAACCTCCGCTTCCTGGGTTCAAGCGACACTCTGCCTTAGCCTCCCAAGTAACTGGGATTACAGACACCCGCCACCATGCCTGGATAACTTTTTGAATTTTTAGTAGATACAGAGTTTCACCATCTTGTCCAGGCTGGTCTTGAACTCCTGACCTCATGATGCACCCGCCTTGACCCCTAAAGTTTTGGGATTACAGGCGTGAGCCACTGCGCCCAGCCCGGAAACTCATTTTTATCATCTTGTACCCAGGACTTTTCGTGGGGCATGGTAATTCCTTTCTTTCCAGTGTCCTGTTAGATTGGGAGTTCCGGCAGGGAATGTCATCTTTCCCCGTTCCTGGAGCATCATTCTCAATACATGATCTTTGAATGGGTGGATGAACAAATGAATGGGTGAGACCAAGAGCAGCAGTCTCTGCAACTCCTTGAGGCCATTCCACGTCCTTGTGAAAGACCTCGAAGCTTCCTGTTTCTGTCTCAAAGAATGGTGGCTGGAGCCTCCATATGAGTGGATGAGGCCAGCCTCTGATGGCACCCCACCTAGGTGATCTTCAGAGCTGGCCTGGGCCTTGTAGCGAGCGTTTCCTACGTGGAAGGCAACATTTGGACTTTGTAGGACTAGCAAAAGACCTAGAAAGAGGGCAGAGCATGGGAGCTCACATCTGTAATCCCAGCACTTTGGGAGGCTGAGGTGGGAGGATTGCTTGAGCCCAGGAGTTTGAGACCAGCCTGGGCAACATAGGGAGACCCCATGTCTGCAAACATTTTAAAACATTAGCTGGGCGTGATGGCTCACACCTGTAGTCCCAGCTACTCGGGAGGCTGAGGTGGGAAAATCGCTTGCGCCCAGGAGGTTGAGGCTGCAGTGAGCCATGATCACGCCACTGCACTCCTGTCTGGGTGACAGAGTGAGACCCTGCCTCCAAAAACAAGGTGATGCTCTTCCTCCAGTAGAACTTAAATTTGGTTAGGAAGAGAGAGTGGAGTGTACACTGCTGAGAAGTGTATAGGTAAAACGGGATAAGATGAAAGACCCAACTGCCTTAAAGCAATGTTTGATTTTTCAGAGGAGCGTATAGATGAGTGAGTGTCAGGAGCTGGAGGCGGAGGGACTGATTTAGGCGGGAATGGTCTGGGAAGCCCTTGTGGAGGAGGAGGAGGCTGGGTCTTAGAGGACAGATAGGACTGGCAAGGCCGGGGAATGACGAGCAGAGGGCATGGGATGAGCACAGAGCAGGAGGTGTCTGCAGCAGCCGGTGAGCCAGACTGCGGGAGGCCTACAAGGAAAAGGCTGGGGGCTCCTGCAGGCGCAGGGTGAGGCCCAGCGGGCCATGGAAGGATGCTTGTACTCTGGCATGTTCTGGGCGCAGGGAGGAGAGGAGAGAGGAAGTCCGGGGCAAGCCGGAGGAGAGTTATTGAGACATCAGCCAAGTTCCAATGCAGAGAATTTTCAGAGCTCAGTTTCGGAGGAAATGAACGGACACATCAGGATTGAAAGAGGATTACAGTGTCACACTGTCTGTGAGGTCCTATGGAATGGAGGCGGGCCGGGCGTGGTGGCTCACGCCTGTAATCCCAGCACTTTGGGAGGCCGAGGCAGGTGGATCACCTGCGGTCAGGAGTTCGAGACCAACCTGGCCAATATGGTGAAACCCCATCTCTACTAAAAATACAAAAAATTAGCAGGGTGTGGTGGTGGGCATCTGTAATCCCAGCTATTCGGCAGGCTGAGGCAGGAGAATTGCTTGAACCTGGGAGGTGGAGGTTGCAGTGAGCCAAGATTGCACCACTGCGCTCCAGCCTGGGCAACAAGAGCGAAACTCCCTTTGAAAAAATAATTAAAAAAAAAAAGGGAGGCCTGTATCCACACTGTCTTTGCTTTTGGACCCCAGATTAGATGTAAATGCAGGCACGGATAGGGTGAAGATGAGTGGGGGACGCTGTGGAAGGTACTTTGTTACTGACTCCCCTCTGGGTCTGTTCTGATTGACAAGCGGAAGTCTATCTTAGGAATCTGGAAGCCGCTGGGGGCATTGTGTGGACTGGAAGAGGAAGGGTGGTCCGACCGTGAAAATGACTTTCAAAGGGAAAGGAAGTTAAAGGAAAAGAGGATGGTGTGAGGTCAGAGGGGAGGCTGGCATTGAAGAAAGATATTTGGGTGAGAGATTGTCCTCGGGTGAAAGCAAAAGCAAAGAGACCCGTGCAGGGCGTGGGGGAGCTCTGGAAGGAAAGTCGGGAGGGACGGGTAGCTGGTGGAAAACTTTGGGAATGCCAGATGAACGGATTCCTTTAGCTTCAGTGTCAACATGGGGGCTGGAAGCGTTGGTAGAACCGAGATTCTCAGGATGAATGGCTTGAAATCATAACACTGTCCCACAGCTGCTTCTCTGCCCACTCCGCGGCTATTGGAAGAAGAGTCCCCGAAGGCCTTGTCAACACGGGGCCCCTGGGCAACCGACGCCTCAAAGCAGGCCAGGGCAGGGGGGCAAAGTCCGGGGGAGGAGTGCGGGTCCTGGCCTCCAGTGCTCACAGGACCCTCCCAGCGGAGGGCAGGCCTGGACCGTCCTGTGTCCCCAGATTGCCCCCTGGCCAGTGCCAGGGCTGAGCTTGCACAGGCGGCTCTAGGGCACAGCCCCCGCGTGCACCAGCCCCCACCTCCGAGTCCCCAGCCCCAGGACGGGAGAGAAGGAAAGGTCACGCGGGGTGTAGAGCTCTGCAGCGCAGACACCGCAGTGAGCGGCACCAGCGCCTGACACTGTGTTTCTCTCCCGCAAGGGCACCATGCCGGTGGAAAGGATGCGTATGCGCCCGTGGCTGGAGGAGCAGATAAACTCCAACACGATCCCAGGGCTCAAGTGGCTTAACAAGGTGAGTGCACCAGGGTGGGTGAATGTGTGACAGAGGTCCTGGCGGAAACACGCCCACGCGGACTGCCAAAAGTAACACTGTGTTCGAAGTTTTAGGCTCATTCGTGATAAAAACCAGCCATCCCCACATGATCATAAAACATCAAGTTATCACCTGAAAGACTTTTTTTTCTTTTAGAGGCAGGGTCTCACTCTATTGCCCAAGCTTGAGTGCAGTGGTACAATCGTGACTCCTGCAGCCTCCACCTCTTGGGTGCAAGGGGTCCTCCCACCCCAGACTCCAGAGTGGCTGGAACTACAGGTACAAAGGCCACCATGCCTGCTAATTTTTGTGTTTTTTAAATAGAGCCGGGATCTCACCATGTTGCCCAGGCTGGTCTTGAACTCCTGGGGTGAAGCGATCCTCCCACCTCTGCCTCCCAAAGTGTGAGGCTTGCAGGCGTGAGCCACTGAACGTGGTCTCAAAAGCATCCTCTGCCCTGTAGCCACAGCCTGGAGCCCCCAGTGACGGCTCACCTTTGTATTTTGGCCAACTGCCTGTGGAAACCTCCTTTAAGGATTCTTACCCTCTTCCTTCTCCAGATTCCTTTTTTTGCTTCTCCCGACCATTTAGGACTAGAGGACGTGGAAACTCCAGGGTTTTATATTGGGAGTGGAGCATTTTCGTTTCAATGTTCTCTATTTAAAGAAAGCTTGTTTTTGTCTTTTGCAAAAGCCTCCTTTTAACCTCTGTAATGAAGGCCTATCCGTATGCCCACCTGTCCTAAAAGCAGACAATCATTTACAACCTACCCCTCCATGCATAACAGTCCCTTACTTTGTTAACCGAAAAACTCTTAATTTAATTGATCCTAGCTATTAGGGGTGAATCAGAAAGAGATAATATAGGTAAAAATGAAAACCTTCTAGAACTATATAATCTAGAAAAGCAACTGATATATATATATATCATGCCTTCTTTAAGGAGGCTCAGGAGAGAAGCTTCACTTCTACTGGAACAGTTCTGAGTAAATGCCTTTTTCCCTTCCCCACTCCCTCCTCTTTTCTTTTTTAATCTTAAGGACACAATGAATAATTTAGCTGGCTGGGCTCTATCTTTGTATCAGGTGCAAGAGCTTAGAGCCAGATTGCAGATTGGAGCTGCTTCCAACAAGTGACCGGGATATTGCAGTATAATTTTTTTAGACTAATATCACTCCTGGCCTTATTGGGTCTTTTCAGATATCTTTCAAATCTTATTTTTTTAAATTCTTTTCCTTTTATCCGCTTATTTTGATTTTTTTGTTTTTTTTTTTTTT